TATAAAATATGGGTGCTGAATCCATGTGTGAAAGGCACTTGTGTTTTGGTAGTGGTATGAATGCATGAAAGATGAATATGTAAAACTCATTACAGTGTTATGGCTGCAGGTCCTAATTCAGCATGGGTCTGAGGCAAAAGCCCACCTTTCAGCACAAGGATAGTCCCTGTGGGCTTTGTGGATCCCTGTGTGCATACAGGGTAAAAGTGACCCTGGCTGCTTTGTGAAACATGCATATTTTGCTTCCCTGTGGCTAAAACACGGCACTGTCCTACCACGTACAGGTGATTTGTAGACGATGAAGGCCAAAAGAGTTCTGTGCTTGTCTAATCCAGCACAGAGGAGACTGAAGCTTGTATTCAGATCAAGATACAACCTATGAACTCTAAAACCATAGCGAGAGTCTGCAGTGTAAGTGAAATATTTTGGTTCTGTCTGTGGAGGGAGGACTGAGGAAGGACTATGCCTGTGTGTGTGGTGCTTGCAGAACTGCACACAGCTGCAGGTCATGGGCTTTGCATTTCTGTGTATTTTCTTATGAAGAAACAAAACAAAAAACAGTTCTGCACAGTGAGCAATTGGCCTTTTTAATTGTAAACTCCTGTTTACTTTTGCCATGGATGTTTTCCCTATTTGAAGGGTAGTTTAATGGTTCAGGAATCTCTCACAGGTTACAATCTGTTTGCTTGCTGTTGAATTGGAGACTTGAGTCTGCCCCTTTCCCCCTGGTATGACACTACTGCAGCCTGTGTCAGCGGGTGCTGCTCGCCCATGTGACAGACTGGTGATTCCAAGGCTGATTTTTCTTTTCTTCTGTCAGTGGAAAAAAGTAATTGCACATTTAGCTGCCTTCAGGAATGGTAGATTCCTTTCTCACAGAACTGTTTGTGGGGTTTTAGACTGAATTTTAAATGCTGTTGGGAAAGTAGCTCAATATGCAAGCAGATTATTTTGTGAGCCAGGCTTTATTGGTTTTGTTCTTAACAACTTTTCTGGAAAAGCATTCTTATTTATGAGGGGGCAAAATTGATTAGCATGCTGCCCCTGTGGCAGCCTAACACATCAACAGGATTATCAACTGTAGCTCCTGCTAGTTCTCATCCTAGGTGGTAAATAAGTATGAAGTAGTTAATGGCAATGGGCAAGCACTAAAGAAAGTTCAGGTCCATCACACTTCAAACTTCACTGGTGACGTAGCTCCTTGGTACTGAAGTTTTGTGTCCTGTTTTAAAGAAATGAACTTTCCTTCTGGAGGTGCAGACTTGATGCTGTTTGGAGCAGCAGCAGTGAAAGGTCTGCAGGCAGATTAAAAGAAACAGCAGCAACAGAGTTTAATATGATCTTCCCTGAACTGAAAGCGAGAGAGTTTTCAGACTCTTCCATGCAGCCCCGTTCCCATAGCGATGGCACTGATGCTGTGTACCGACTGATGCAGTCTCTGACCAGTCCAACCTGGATTCAGCATTGGATAAGATTTCTAGTAGCTTTGCTGAAAGACTGGTGTCTATTGCTGTCTGCAGATGTGCATAGGAAGCTCCCACCCAAATATCAGGAGCAACACAAGGATAATTGTTTATAAATGTAAGCCATCAGTGATGCCCATTGTCATCTAGAGTCAGCTGGGCATCCTGATAGCTGATGGGGAGCAGCAGGTAGGGAAGGCATGTAAAAATTTTGTTTAGGGGATTTGTTTGCTTCTTCATCTTCAAATGAGGACAGTGTTCTCCTCCCTGCCTCCTCAGTTGTCCATGAATATCTGTATTTAGGATACGGCAGCACCAACGATGCTGCATTTCTCCATGCTGGCCCCAAGTCCCGTGGCACAGACTGTGCCAGCAGAGCTGCAGTGCTTTCTTCCTCCCGAGCATTCTGCACAGCACCACAGCACTGTGCCTCCTGGGAGCCCTCTCAACAGCCAGTGCCAGGCAGCAACATGGGGACAAAGCTTTCAGACAAAGGAGGAGGCAGAAAAGCTTAGCTCCTAGCAATAGATGAGACTTATAGTCTTTGTTCTTGTTCCTTACTTTCTTCATTCTTGGTATTTCTTTTCTTAATCCTTGTTTATAGTTGCAATTTTGACTTGCAGTAAAATTCTTTGTTTCTGACTGCATTTGCCTTGAACTGCCCCGATCGGGAATGAAATGGGCGAGTCAAACCCATCTGTGACTGCCAGACGTGGTGTAGTGAACGCCATTACAAACCCCTTTCTGCTGAGTTTTGTTTGCTGCATTTGGGGTTTTGCTTTGGAGTTTTTATTAGGCTGGAGAAGATGACTAAGGTTTTTAATGCTCCCACTTTTCCAAACCCTCAACAGAAGTTTAGAACACACTTAAAAATGTTTCTGCACATTCAGTCCCTAGGAGTTAAATAAATAAGTTGGGCTAACCACTATGTAACTTTCTTCTCTTTCTTTTTTTTTTTCTTTTTTTTTTTTTTTTTTCTAACTGGTAGCCTATGACTGAAAACTCTTTCAAAGTTCTGTGTTGTCATTTTTTTTTCTCTTTTCTGTAGAATGGCCCTATGAGGTAGTGAGTCACTCTATAGAGAAACTCTCCATTTTATTGTGCTGTTTGGGAAATGTGGCAGTGCATTACCAGAAAAACTTACTTGTCTCAAGAAGCAAAAACAACCAGTCTCCCCCAACTCGCTATTCTGCTGAACCAAACAATAAGGAAATGAAAAGAGTTGCCTGTGAAAGGGAGCTGGCAGAGCAGAAGAGCTGGCTGGGTTGAGAAGCGTGTGCACTGGCTCCTCACAAGCAGTGTCTCAGGGTGAGGGATGGAGGGGATTGGGGTCTCAGGGCAGCCAGTTGCATCCCCACAGAAGCAGAGAAGGGGTGAACATAGGGATGTGCAGCTCCGGCAGCCCCACAGCCATCATATTGCTCTTGGCAAAAGAGATGTGGTCAGTGTGGTTTAACGTGGTATGCCTTTAAGACCATGATCCAAACACTGTGAGCCCAGGTGAACATTAAAAGCTAAGAGGCTGAGTTGCTCCTGTGTAGAAAATAGACCACCTGCAATTTCATCCATTGTGGGAAAAGAGAATATAGGTCCCTAAATCCAGAAGTGTCCAGACTAGATATTTTGGGATTCTTTTTTTTTTGGCATTGTTATGGGAAAGCTCTGATTTCTGAGGAATTTTATTTGTTTCATTCCTTGATAAAATGTTTTCTGCCAATGTTTAATAATGATACTCTTATGACCACTAAACTGAATGAAACCTGCTTAGACTCTGTATATTGAAAGATGGGAATCCAAAAGCAATCATCTCGGATTCAGAGCTGATGCAAAGGGATTGCAGGGTTTGCTTTCTTTTTTTAACACCATATATAGGATATATAGGAGATAGTTGCATGTATTTACTGGCAGTTGGCACCCATTAAGGAAGTTGCTGAGGCTCCCCATCATTACCAAATCTAAGTATCATATAAATTGCTTCTGAAAAACTCTAAAACTTGCCACTTCTAACAATATATCTATCTACTTGATGAAGGTGGTGAAATCACCTAATGACGATGCAGGGGAAATGGAAGTGCTAACGAGATAAATACATGTGGGAATAAAGCTGGAAGATCATCTTCTCCCAAGCTCAGAGCTGACAATCGGAACAAGTACACGTGTAGTGCTGCTCCGTCTGCACCATGTCTGGGCTGCAGAGCTCCTAAAAAGCGTTGAAGTCTGCAGTATATGGAGACTTATGGAGACCTAACCTTCTGTTGCTGTCTCACCTGTGTGTGTGTGTGTGGTCAAATGGTGGGCCGTGTTTTTTCCCCACTGCTGTAACAGGACAGTGTGTGTGAGCCCTAGCGGGAGTTCAGGGAAGGTAGTGACCTTTTGTGTGTTTCACCAGGAATATCAAGGAATACCAAGGAATATCTTTAAGTGCGCTTGTCTGTTACAGGCTGAGCCAGAACATTCATCTTTTATTCCAGTTCACTGCAACAAAAATATGCAGAGGAATTGAAAACACAGAATAGGTCTCCCCACAGCTCTTTATTAATAAACACAGAGGTCTCAAGTGGTTTGCCTTAATTTGTTTAATAGTTTTGAGATAATTCTGGTGTCTTCTGATGACTGCACATGCAAATACCTTAGGGATCCTTTGAGGAAGTTGCTTTTGAATGGTGTTGGTTTAGTAATGTGTGGGGGCTTAACTACCTTCTAGTCTGCAACTATTGCGTACAACTTTCTCATTCTGTTGAAAGCAGTGATTGTGAAGGCATAAGAAAAGACAGTACCAGCTTATTTGGGGCCTAACATTTAGTTGTTGAGTTTAATTTAGAACCTTGCTTTACAAAATTGGTTTGAAGCAAGCTGTTTTCAAGTCTTCATTTTTCAGGGAACGAGGGAAGGGCCAGAGAGTAGATTTTAAAACTTACAAAATGTTCCATTTCATCTTGCTAAGCCAAACACAGGAGTCCTGTGCTGATGCCTCATAGCCAGAGAGTAAAATGAGCCATCCACAGCAAGTCAAACTGTCTAGAGCATCTCTGAAAGAAAAACCGCAGAAACTCTGCCATGTAAAATACCCTAGAGGCCGGGCTGGGTGGCAGAGCAGAGCAAAAGTTGGTAAATCCACAAGGAAGGCTTTTTGTCTGCGTGCTTCCTGTGAGTGCATCCTCTTGATGCACATTGTATTGTCCTTCAGTTTTTTGTGTAAAAACTTGCTGCCATTTTGCTAGGAAAGTCAGCTTCAATTATTCACAGACTGATGTAAAATAATAGTGGTGTGTGTGTGTGTAGAGTTTCATTCAGTTTATAACCAAAGTTCCTGCCTTGTGCTCTGGATGGCTTCCTTTAGATCACCAAGTTTAAAATGATTTTAAAACTTGACAAATTTGTTTTCAGGCTTCAGCTCGAGCACCCTTGCCCTTACTTTAAAATAATAAAATGTTCTGAGTGGATCATTTCTGTATGTGTTTCTGGTCAAAAAGGAAAAAGAAGAATGCATAAGCATATAGCAACCACTATCAGCTGCGTTAAATGAAGAAACTGAACAATAGCTGAATTTTTTGAGCAGTTGTTTAATTGTAAGTTGCTGTACTCACTACAAAAGTTTTGAATGGAAACATATAAAGAGCTGAAATAGCCCTTGCCTTGTTTAGATATTTTATATACCTACATTTTTGATAGCAGGCAGCCACAGCACAATGTGATTGGATGCTACTTCCATTTCACTTTTTCAAGGGCTTGGATTTATAAAGCATGCTCTCCGTGTTGCAAACAAGTACCTGCTAGCCGTCTTTAATGTTGTTCTGCTCTGAACAGAGAACAGGAGGCAGCACCTGCAAGGATGATCAGGGACTGACTGATGGAAGGAGATGAAAAGATGAGTGAGCACAGGGAATACAGGAGCAGAGATGAGTATTTCTGAAGATAAGAATAAAATCACATGATTTTTCACATTAAAAGGAGTTAGAAGCACAGGAGGGATTTGGGGTAGAAATTCTGCTGCTGCAGAGTAGGAATGATGCTAGCAACAGCACTGAGCATGACCTTTATAGTCATGACCACCTCTTTGAAATCTGCTGATGGCTTGTACACATCATTTCCATTGGCCAAACCATGACTACTGCCCCAGCACAAATCCAAACACTTGCTGTGTAACTTGAGATAAGCCTTTCCCAGCTTCTCTTGTCTGTGTGTGCATCCACCTTTGGAAAAGAGCTGGTAGAGCCTTGCCTGCAGAGTGCAGCACAAGGGATGGTGAAATTCTAGCTGATGCAGGTGCTCAGTGATGAATGAGGGTAGAGCCCTCTTAGTGCCCTTCTGCTCTCCAGATCCAGAGCAGGATATAAACCCTCCACATCTAGGTTTCCACCTCCTTGCTCCCATTCTTAAAATAGAAAACTTTCCCGGTGGTGATAATCTATGGGCTTTCTAGCATGCCGACAACAGAATCAGGCTCATTTCTTAAAATTACTGTTAATGAATGAAGTGGATTATTCAGCAGTCCAGTCCACATGGAACCTGATTAAAAGACAAATATCCCTGAATATTTGCTAGGTTGGATCTCTTGGTTCCTCACCTGAATCAAGACCAACAGCTACTGCATAAAAATGAATCTGACCTGATTTACGCCTCATAATTCTGTAGTGACTCACTAATTAAATTTCACATTTCCAAGTGCACCCCCTGGCTACTCATAAATATCTCAAAGGGCTTTAAAAAATGTAGGTGTTAGTCTTTTAGGAAGATAATGTCAACCTATCTTCTAGAATCTTTATTTGCTAAATGCTGGAACTATGGTGTCTGTTTCCAAATACTTGGAAAATACTTCTACAAATAGTGAATGAGTCATGTTTTTCATCTTTCATCTCTAGGTAACTCATGCTGACACAATACTTCATCTCCCTCTATCCATAAAATATGCTTACTTACCCCTCGTTCACTACTAGTTTTCTGCTCCTTTGCCCTCGTTAGTCCACCTAAAAATGTTGTCAGCATTGTTAATATTTATTCCGTCACATATGGAATAAGCTGGCATATTCTTCCTCACTTTCAAATTAATGCTTGCTTTGTTGTCTCTTGATGAGCCTAGTTTGCTCTCTTATTTTCCAGTTTTCTGCTATGTTTATTTCTCATGCTACCATAATCTCAGTGGGCTTAATCTACCTTGTTTTAAGTTCTTTGTTAGAAGTTCCTTCTGCCGTTTCTGGATAGGAAATGTTGGATAGGGATGGAAAAAGAGGCAGGGAGTTTATAACATGATTTTACCTCTGAGTGTGATATTTGAAAATATCTATCCTGTAAATCTCCCGCGTAGCATGCAGGAGTCGGAAGGTGGCAGATTTACTTGGAATTGAGACAGTGCTGTGTTTTCATACTTCATCTCTCCATCCTGTTGTCCTCCCCCATTTCCTTTCTGGAAGACATCCTGGTGTTAAAATAAAGTCTCATGCTCCATGGCTTCAGCTGGCTGCCCACAGGGGTTAGGCAGGATATTTCCCTCTGATGCACAGTTAGCAAGATGAGTTCTGGGGGTGTTTTTCACCTTCCTTTGGCTCCTTGTAGACAGGCCACAGCTGTAGATGAGAGAGAAGATAGTAGATAGTAGAGGGAGTTATCATTTTAAGATACCTGCTTAGTGTCTCACAGTCTCATACCCCATGTGAAAATGCTGATCAGATTTGCATCAGACAGGGTTAAAAACGATTCTCCTGGTCACTCACCTGAGTCCTGGGAAGCATTCTGATTTCCTCTCCAGGAAGGTATGTGGATCACCTACAAGTGATGTGTGGTCTTACCATACCTGCGGTTGCAAGGATTTGAGTTCCTTCTTCCCTTCCTGCCTGTGGTCTTGCAGCATGCAGATAGTGAGGCTGACTGAAGAAAGAATTGCTTTATTATAACCAAAATCATTATTCTTAACAGAAAGGACTGTAGTGAAATTTAATGGCCAGTGATAAACAGGAGGTCACAGTAGATCAACTTGTGGGCTCTTCTAGCTTTAAACACTATGAAATCTCCCTCCAAAACTGATGCCATTATTACTCCATAGGTTAGCTGGCAAGGAGAGGATTTCAAGGCAAGCATCCAGCACCCACCCACAGATTGTGTTGGCTCAAAGCCTGGCAGCTTGAGTCCCTTCCAAAATGTATCCAGGATCTTCTAGTTAGGAATGCAGCATATTGCTGGTTGTGACACAGATACAGCTGAGTTTACTCCGTGTCTTATCTGTAACCTTTTAACGTTTTCATATGGCTTACTCATTTGCAGAAGCTTTTGTAAACCTGAAAACAGAAAACAGCATGGGCTTTATACAGCTACTGCTGTTTTCTCTGATTTAAGATGTTCCCGGTCTTGCCTCTGGGTATCCTTCATGTTACTTTCAAACCTCCAAGGGTCTGCTGTTGTTGCTTTCTGGCCCGCACCCTTCATTTTTCTGGGCAAACCTCCCTCTAGCCTGTTGATGTCGTTCCTAATTGCCCAAAGGAATCATTGCTGAGCAATGCGAGGCATTTCCTTCCCTCTTATTAAAAAGCACCAGAATAAAACTTAGTCTTTCACAGCAGTGGCTAAACCCACCACATCTTAAAATTGTGTTATGGCTACAGGATTTTGGACTATTACTGTGAAGTAACAAGGTGTTTTAAACCAGGTTTTCATTAATCTCTCTGGCTCCCTGTCATTCACTCACACTGTGTACATGGTTGGGGGATCAGGACAGTCTTTCTCTACCCTGGTATTCCACTGGTAAAAATTACTTGTGCCAATATCTTGTGCCTGTGGCATTGTAGACGCTGGAAGGAGACTGCTGTGCTACTGTTTGCATCCCAGTGACAGAGGTTGCTCCTAAGTGCAGAGAAGAAAGGTCAACTGAAAATGGTGATTCTAAGGTGCTCTGTATCCCCTGTACTGATCTCTTGCTATTTTCTTTCCAGAATTACCTTGGACTAATCCAGAACAGAGGTCGGTCGTGCTAGTTTGTCATACTGCTTCAAAGTAGACTGTCCCTGCTTCAAAGCCTTGACAAGCAAACTGGTAAATACATAGTCTAAATGCAATCTAAAATAAAACAAAACAAAACATGTAAAACTAGATTCATGTAACTTTTATTTCATAGCCCTACAACTCAAGCTTGTTCTTAATGAAGGAGAAAAAATATTGCAGTAAAATGCTGGTGACACTCTAAAGAAATGTACAGCGACTGCTGACCACGGTCTGCTCTCATCACTCTGTCAAACTTCAGGACAGTCCCTGGGGTTCCACTGGCACAACAGAGATAAAAGCTCAGGAATGAATTGTTGGGCTATTACTATAGATTTCTCTAGTACTGTTAAAAAGGCATATAAGGATTTACAAGTCCTTGAAAATTAGCTTTCATGATTGTTAGCACTTTCTTGCAGTTAGCTGCATAGATTAATTATACCCTCTTATAAAAATTCCCCATGGAAAAAAAAAAAAATCCAGTTCTTCTTGACAAACAGTTAATAACTTCAGGTCAGTAGATCGGAATGAGGAGTCTTGAGATTCCTCTCAGAGTAATGGTTGATGATAACTAGCCTGCCAGAAGTTAGTTACTTTTCAGATAGGAGGTTGGGATTGTTCTTTGTGATATAAATTCCTTCCCATAAGAATGCCACCAAGACACTTAGGCCATTCCAGGTGTGGAAACTCCAGCTGCTCCCCGCTGTTACTTTTGAGACTGGCAGATCTGGACTGAGATTTAGGCACAGAAGCAATATTGTCACCCTGTTTTCTTCCACTCTGCCTGGAAGGACTCTTATAAATGAATGGAGTTAAGTCTGCAAGCCAATTCATCCCCGAGTTTCTTCCAGTGAAACTACTGAGGAGACTTGCTAATAATTTTTCATTCTAGCAATGCGTTTTGAAGTGTGGTTGTCCTGCCTTTTATAGAAATGTATTGCGACCATTAATGCCCTTCAGGCAACCAGAAAGCCATCAAACCACAGGGAAAGGTTTGAGCTGTGGATGACAGAAGCTTCCTGTTTCATTTCCTGTGAATGAAACAAGACCCCCTTTTCTGAAGGGGTGAGGAGTGCTGTATTGAGTCTTAGGACATCACTAACTGCAATAATAATCTGGTCAGCCTCAAGGTGAAATGATGTTACTAACATCAGCCTTCTGAGATACCCATTCCCCTCTGGTTTTATACCACTGCATTGATTCTAGTGTTCTACCCTGCAAAAGAAGTTGTTTTGGTATCTTTTCACTTCTCCTTTGTTGTTAATGAAGAAATTAATTGAGTAATGCACTGCCAACATGCAAAAAATGTGCTGCTTTTTATGTTTGATGCTAGACTACTATGTTGATGCAACCCATTATGAAATAATTGCTTGATTTCAAATTGCCATTGGGGACTGCTCAAGAAATAGGCAGGAGAGTGAATGATGCCTCTGTCACAGTATCAGTCCTTTCCCCTTTCACAGCAGGTCAGGAGCCATCCTTGCCCCTTGCTGTCTTCTCTTGGCACTACACCTTTCTTGTCCTCCTGCCCAGGGTGCTTTTCCCAGTAGTGTAATTGCTTCCACTAGGAAGATCCTAAGAGGGTTTGGGTGACAGTCAACAGAGTAAGGGTTTCACAGTGCCTAGGTCCCCACAACCCTCCTGTGGGAACAGGATTGCTCCAAATAATGGAGCAATATATGCATCTAAATCACTTTTGTAAATTAAGAGGGAAAAAATAATGCTCACAGCCCATTTTTGGGTATATATATATTATCTCCAGCATGGGTTGGAGAAAGTGGGCCAGGCAGATGTGGTTGCCTCCTTCAAAACTTGGGCAGCACAGCACTTGTTGCTCTTCAGTTAGCCCTGAAATTCAGTGCTTGGCATTTGTAGGAGAGGAAGGCCAGATCTGGCATAAATGTGAGGAGAATGCAAAATGCAGTCACTCTGAGTTTTGAAAAGGGTAATTTGCTGCAGGTCTGGTCTGCTGCTCCCATGTGCTGAAAGACGGCAAGAAGTTCCCAGGCAGATTCTGTTGCCTTCAGTCAGAAAGGCAAAATGCCCGTTGTTGTTATAGATGGGGTTTTTACACTTTACCTCAGGAAATCACTCCTTGACACATGCAAAATCACTAATTTCTCCATTCACTCTTTCTGGCTGGCATTTGTTAAGAAAGCTCAGATGTAGCATCTCCTGCAGTACCAACAGTTAGGGGGACATTCTGGTTCCATTCAGCTCCATCCTCTCATTCATCAACATGCATGGCACTTTCCCATCGAGATAAAGATGCCCTGAAAAGCTTCCAGCCCCAGTTCAATGGAGAACAAACAGGAGGGAAGGGCAATGGGAAGAGGGTGAGAGGGAAGAGGGGCGAGAGTGAAAGAGGGCAAGACAAGCCTGATGATTGGAGAAACTAATTCTGATGACTGGAGCCAGTGAGTTTTCCAGAACAATATGACTGCATTTAAAAAATTTCTGAATGTGGCAGAGTCCACTGTTTAAGTCTCATTGAAGACAATTTTGTGAAAGGATATAAGGTGGGAGGAAGAGAGAGCAAATGCCTGCCAGATGGGGTTTAAGACAAGAAATCCAGGCACAGAGGCAGTGTGAAAAGAGCCTGTGAGCAGGCATGTGAGGGGAGCACAAAGGGGCTGGAGGCAGGGGGTGAGTGGGGACAGGGGAGGCCCAGGGTGAGCAGATGGAGGCAGCAAAGAGGAGGGTAGGGGATGGGGAAGGGGATTTACTTGAAAATAGCCCCTGTAAAGTGAAAATAAGGAGTTTGGTGTTGCTGAGGTCAGGGAAGAGGGAGCCCCCGGGTGCTGGTGTGGAGCTTGGCACCACAGGCCAAGTTTGGGGGGGTCAGGAGGGACGCACAGCCTGTGTCAGGGGCCAGAGCCTGCTCAGCCACCCAGGAGACCAAGGCCTCACTCCAGAGTTGTGGTAGGTGCATGAAGAGGAAGGTCAAAAGTGTTCAGAGGTACAGCGAGTGGGATTCATCTAAGCCCTTTCTGAGGAGCCTTTCATTGTGCTGCTCAGCATTGCAGCTGTAATTCAAGCACAGTCACAGCACTGTTAACATGAAACAAGGCACCAGCTCCTAGAGATTCAAACATGCAAAAACTGTCAAGTTGCTGACTTAGAAAGAAGAGAAGAAAGAACTCTGTGTACAAAGACATGAAAGCAAAGGAGATAAAAATGAGCTCAGTGATGTTCATACTTGCAGAAATGGAGAGCAGGCATACCTGAAAGGTTCTCAGCATAAAAACAAGGTGTAAGGGACTTCCATCACCTCCTGCTGAGGAACAACAACCGAGTTATGGTGCAGGCAATGTCTCCCTGCCTGACTTAATTGGGGATAAGCGACGCAAATTGGAAGCAGCATTGTAACTGGGGTTGTCAGTTTTGCCTCATCACTGTAATTGATTACTGAATAGGGTGGAGGAAAGGAGGCAAAACTGCCAGCAGTTTGATGGCTAGGTAAAATTCAACAGTCCTCCTGGCAACAGAGAGTGAGCTACAGATGGGTTGTTCTTCAGGGGCCGAATAAGGTGGACGGGCAGCAGAGAGAAATTCCTGTCCTATAGGGTGGAAGATGGGCTGTTGGTGGGGCAGCAATTTCTGGAGCAGTGTCAGCTCCCCTGTGCCCTGGGTATGCTTTTCTAGCCCATCCACCTCCCCAGAGAGGCCTGCTCCTCTACTTGAAGAGAAAGTTACGTGGTATTTGTTTGTTTGTTTGTTTGTTTTTCACTTTAAACCCGTTTTGTGAAATCAAAATCAGAAAAACCAATGCCTATGTTGAAATGTACCTAGATGTCACAAAAATATCTGCCCACATGACTATGAAGTACAGGATCTTGAATATCAAGACAGTCATTAATGGTTAAAATTTCAGGAGATTTTGGGGAATTTTGTATGTCTGTATCCATGTATCCCTCTCAGTCTCTTTACATGTTATAGCTCCAGACAACTTTAAGAAAAAAAATAAAAAAACTTTTATTTTTGCAGAAAGATTTATTTGTTGAAGGGGCAGAAACTGAGGGGGAGGAACAGCTGAAATTTCTAAAAGGTGGAGCGCTTCTCCCAAGTGGGCTCAGCTGGCCTTGGTGGCCAGAGCTGCCTGGTGGTAACACGCAGCTCCTTGCGCCTCAGCCACGTAGATGTTGTTTGTGATCACCGCATCAAGCACATTGTTGCTCGGGGAATTACCTTTTGGATGAGTGTTGGGGTGATTCAGAGTGCATTCAGTTTTGTGATTCACGGAGCTGAGAAGGAAAACTGATTTATTGGGGGCGGGGGAAGAAGTGAGACAGTGAGGCAGGAAATTGGTGTCCAGAAGGCATTTGGGAACAGGCACATTTCAAAGTTTCTAACAATATGGGACAGAGACATTTGGCAACCACTACAGCTATGCTGCGTGCTTTGCTCTCTACTTTCTGACAATATTTTAATGTTTTGCAAAAACACTATTGCTAACATATGAACACTAATATTTTTAGATCACTTCCTACTCCTAGGTACTGTTATATCACACAGAGCAAGTTAAACCAACTGTTCAGCCAGGTACCGTTTTGGAGTGCAGTCTGTTCGTCAGGCTATAATCTGAAGTCCTCATTCAACTTTTATTCAGCCAGATTTATTTTTTTCATGTCAAATGTTCTATTGCTTTGGCTAAACCATGCACCCTTCTTTCCTCCAGTATTATTTGTTGTTTGTGTGTATTTTTTTGCCCAGAAGCTAAGTTTACTAGAGACATAAGAGAGGCCATTCCAGATAACTCTGCCTCATGGTCATGCCCTGCTTTGAGAGGGTCTGCTCATGGAAATTTTGGGAAAATCTGGAAGAAATCTTACTGAAGGCACCTGAGGAATGAACTGTTAATGAGAGAGGATTTTTCCGAGCGTTATTCACTGAACTGCCAGCCCGCATTCTGAAACTTAAGTGAACTTCTTTTGCAGTTTCTAGCTTAACCTCGTTAGCTGTGTATAAACATTTCATTTTTAAAATACCAATGATTCCAGCAGCATGGTTGCACATTACATATTTTAAACTCTTTTAACCAGTTATAGAGTTTTAGCATTTCTGGAAAAGAAGTGAACCCTTTTTGTTATTAACTACTCCACATATCCTGACTGCTTGACTTTCTGAAAACAACCAGGTACAATCACTGTGCACAAGCGCTTGGTTACACCTCAGTATTTAGTGTTAATTATTTAGATAGTTCTGTGTGCCTAGCCGATTGTATGTACCAAGTGTTCACAGAGTCCTTAAACACACAAGAACAAAATGTTCCAAGGATTAAACGTGGGCTGAAATGACCTGTCAGACGAGGATGATCAGTGTTTGCACTTGGAATATGCAAACCTCTGACAAAAGTGTGATCATAAATGTGTACCAGTAGAGTCAAAAGCCCATTCCATTGGGATGTTATAGGAAATACAGTACAAAAATGATGCCAAAAGTAAAATTCAAATAAGCTTTTCTGCAACCTAACAAAATATTTCCCAAACAGCAGGACATAATGGTTTTGAAGATATTTGCAAGGTCATAATTATTCCCATTGGAACTGGTGGTGTTATCTAATCAGACAGGGACACAAGGGAATAACAAAACTTAAATAATTTTTTCAGTGTATTAAGTACAAACTGGCTTTCATATAGCATCTCTTCATTTTGTTCCACCTGTTTTGCTTTTAGAAAGAAAAGAACTCTAAAGAAATCCCTTTCATTCAACAGTTAATGCAGGGCTTGAAAAATTTACCTTAGGCAATGAAGACTGAGTCTAACAATGTGGGTAGTTTGTTTTGCTCTCATGTGTGAAAAGCCCAGTTGTAATTCTGCTTTCCCTGGCTTTCTGAAGATTTTGTTTTGTTTTGTTTTGTTTTCAAACATGCTTGGAAGGCACATGTTGAAGAATCAGCAAAATATGACAGTCTTGCTAGCTTTGTAAGTACTTTTCCATCTGGTGGATTCATCTAATTGGAGTGGTGGGCTTGGAATAGTTCAATGCTGCTCATTTCACGCAATTCTAACCCTGGTACCTATATGGGGGCTCCTGAAGTCTTTCCCCACTCCCCAGCATTCAACAGGCAACTATCTACTTCTTTTCCCATGTAACTGCAGCAAGTACTTGCCTGCAGCATAGTGCTTAGATAACTTGCAGTGGTTTTTGCCCTAGAAAGAGAACTTCATCTCAGCCAGATCCCTGTGAGCCACAGTTGGAGAAGCTTTGAAACTGAAAAAAAGAGAGTAGTACAAAGAGTGAAAAAGGTAGGGAGGCAAGGGATGGGATGGAAGGAAAGGCCAAAACCAGGCGGTCTGACTCTTTTATTGTGGCAGAAATAACTGAATCCATTGAAGTCAGTGGCTTTATGCTGGCTCAAAGGAGAAAGGAAGCAGGCACGAGGTTTCAGCCATAGTGAGGACATAGTCTTTCTCGTGGATAAGTGAGTGAATTATTACTGTTCAGCTTGAACTTCTCATCAGGAAGACTGTTTTATGAGTTGGTTCGTAAAAAAATGAAGGGTTCATTAAGACAATCGTGTTTCTGATCGCCTGAATCTACTGCAATGGTGTGGTGGGATTTACAATAACTGCAAGCTAAACAGCTATATTTTATTATTATTATTATTATTATTATTATTATTATTATTATTATTATTATTTTATTTTTTAAATAAAGATGGTACATCCTTTTCCAGGGCTCCTCCAAAGGGGATAGTGACTCCACTTGCTTTTCCTTTACCTTTCTCTACATTCCCCTTCCTCCTGAATTTTAACCTGCCATCTGATAACACAGCTGTTTTTCCTTTCTCCTTTGTATACTTCCATACATCAGATTTCTAGATCTCTTACATTCCTTCCTACATTTATTCTCACATTTCCTTAAGGTACTATAGAGAGTGGGGGAAGTAGTATGGACTATAAAATGAGATCCCTTTTCTATAGAGAAATATTTTTGTTGAAACGTAACTATTCTGAGTTTCATGGAAGAGTGATGGTGTGAATTACCTTTTTGTTGTTGTTATTAGGCAAAACAACAGCTATTTCGAAATGTCTTGAAAAAAGCAGTCTGGCATAGTATACACAGAAGTAGCAGCTGTATTAAATCCTGCCATGGTTGGGTCAGTTGTGTCCTAAAATGGAGTGCAGGTCAGTACAACTGTATCAGCTGCTGCCCTGTCAGTTACATTCACACTGCTGCCTGAAACTCAAATACTGGAAAAGTCTAAGAAAAACTTTGGAAACACATCAGACTGTGTGCCATGCTTCCACGCAGCTCACGTGGATCAAATATTTTCACTTGGCAGTGTAAGGCAACAATCTCATGAAAGCTGTTAATATTGACACTAATCTCTAGTGTGAATCTTCCTTCTGTGCTCAGGACAGGACAGGTATTTGATGGCAGAGAACAAGCTCTCACTTACGAGAAGGTATGTGTCACCAAAGGAGATGGGGAGGTGGAGGCTTTATAGCTCCCTACGAACAAGCAAACAAACCAAGTGTTTTTTTTTTTTCTTTTTTTTTTTTCTTTTTTTTTCCCTATCAAACAACAGTTTGGTTACTGTTGCTTGGAGTTTCTAAATTTCTTCTCAGATTAAATTGGGTTAAATTTATGTTCTTTGTAATTGAATGTCCTGTAGAGGGGTCTTGCACACAAGGCTGGTGGTTCACAGCTGAGGGGGGATGGTTTGATCTCAGCACTGAGTGTGGATTTGAAAAATTAGACTTCTGTTAGATCTGAGGGTTTGCTTTAAAAACTGTTTAGTGTCACGTATAATGACCATGGGAAGAGAGAAAACAAAGGAGAGCACAAATTTGTTTTCCTTAAAAAAGAATGACAGCAGGCAGTAAGGACAAGCCATGCATTGTGATCATACCCTCAGCGGCTGAAACAGCAGGAGGCTTTTAAGGCAGGGCTGGAGCTGCACTCCTTGGGTGGCTACCCTGCTTGCAGAGCTCGTCTGCTCGCCTTCCTGGAAGGGCAGAGCAGGCAGCCAGGTGCCCTCTGGCAGTCTGCGGCTTTTGGGATCTGCTTACTTTGCCTCTGCCTAAAGCCAGCCCCAGCCTGGGCTCCTTCCTCATACGTGCGATGGATGAGAAAACAGAGTGATGTTGCAGACAGAGGAGTAGAGGGGGAACCAGGACACTTCTGTCTCATTCTTTCAGCTCTCTTTTAGAGATATTTTTTAAATCTTCCTGCACAACTTCAGGGAAAAACTGCTGTGTGTTTTTTCCTCTGCAAGACAACATTCTTGAATAATACTTCCCTGTTCTGCAGGGGTCTCAGGCTATGCTTTGAGTGTTTGTCAAGTCTGCAGAAGCTTTGGGTGCTTTAGACTACCTGTGAATAAAGTTAAGTGTTTACAGCTGAAGGGAGGGCAATTGCAACACTGGCATAACGAAGGTTATGAGTTGAATTTAGCAAGATTTTCTGGGGGGACTGAGCTGTTTTCATATTTTATTTCCTGCATGCAAGAAAGGGTGTGCTAGCAGAGTTTATTGATTATAAAATTTGAGAGCCCATTGTCTGCACAGAGGGGAACTAGAGCAGATTTTGGAATGATTCAGAGAACTCTAAAGCCTGTACTAATAGAAACAGGCTGAAACGTAGCAGTACAAAGTGCAAAATCATTCACCTGGGGACCTCTAAGAATTTTGCCTCTGAGCTCATCAGTTAGAAACAAACAAGAATAAAGCCCTCATGACTGCTCGTCACAAAATGACTTGGGTAACAATGACTACCCCCCACATTATTGCAACCACGATGTACCGGGCAAAAGTTTTTCCAGAAGAACTGGGGAAGTGCTTAAGCCATCTACAAAACCTTAATGAGAGCTCACTGCAATGAGTCTTGTTTTAGTCGCCTGTGGAGAGGAACGATGAATTCCAGGTGGAAAAGGTGTGGTGAAGGGCTCATAAAATGATCAGGAGACTAGGAGTTACTATTTGTTGAGGGAGCTAAGAGTTTGCTTTGATTAATCAAAGAAAATGAAGTCTGAGGAAGATGATATTACTGCTCCTTTTAAATACCAAATATCAAGGAGACAGAGAAGATACTGAAAGCCAGAAGAAAAAGCTGATCCAACAAAAATGACCATGCGTTTGTTCTGGCTGGAAATGAGGAGGAAGAGCAAGACTCTGAATGACCACTTTGCTGACATATTGGAAGCGGTGTAGCTGATGTGTGACCAGTCCACGGCAGCAAGGACTGACCTCAAGGATCTGGAGATTGCCGTCAGACTGCTGGTTCATAACTTCACTGACCTGGAACAGAGGATGGGCTCCATGCAGCCCAGCCACAAGGCAGGGAGGCGCTGGGTTTGCTTCCATAGCACACCGCTTCCTCCTGCTGAAATTTGGCCTGGTTGTTTCCTTTTTGTTTCCTTCCTGCTTTAAAGGCTCCTGTGGTTCCCCTTCCCTCTCAGTTAAATCCTTGTCCCATGGATCAGTTAAAGCTGGGCTAATAGTAGACTGCTATTTTGGAGCTCCAAGGGGCTGAAAGAGGTAGGAATTCAACTCTGATAGTTCTGTAGGCAAGGGAAACGGCATCCATGTTTGAGCTTGTGTTGTGCAAAGCCATGGGCAGGACAAGGGCTGACAGGCAATGAAAGCTACTGGCACCAGAAGTTCTGCTTTTCTAACAAAATCCTTTAGATTTTGTTTAGTGAAGCCACATTCAGCTAAACCACAACTTAGGTTAGACTAACCACGGGTGAAAAACCCCACATAGAGCTTTAGGTTAAATGGAAGGTTTGCGGTCTCACAAAGGAACCCTTTCTCCAGAAATAAAGGCAGAGTTGCTCCTGCATTAATGGCTTGTTTAGTCTGGATGTCAATCTGTACTTAAAAAAAATATGTAATGATAGATAATTGTATCTGCGTGTGCATGAGCCAGATCAGATGCAGAAACAGTCTGATGTAACCCGGGTGTTGGGACTACTGTATGATTTATTTCTGCTTTTAGAAACTGCGAACTAGAGGGATTGCCAAAAGTTTTCTCAGTTTTGGGATTCTGAGTTCTGTGATCAGGTGGGATCCACATTGCTGCTTTGTCTTGGAAACAGTCAGACAGGTGCGGCATTTCCCTCTCTGCAGGCTGCATCCAGCAAGAGAAAGCTGAGCTAGGGATGGTGTAGAGGGGGTATCACCATGCTTTCTCTTCTGCTTTTATCTTCAGGTGCAGGGATTTTCAGGAAAATGAGGGAAACAAACAAACAAAACCTTAAATGATTTGTTCAAATAAACAATTTGTAAAAATCTGCTAGATACCCAGGTCTGTTCTGTCCCAAAATAGTTGCAATGTTTTGCACTCTACTACTCTATTTAATTTCTACATAATAAAGCAATATATTTTAAAATCCCAAACCTGGATGGTTAGCAGGACTAACAAGCTTCCTAGCCTGAACAGGACTGCTGTCAAGTATATCTACTGAATGTAATTTAATTTATTTTTTTTAAATAGGAGGAGCACAAGCAGCTTCTGTCCTTTCTCTTCCTCAGCAGCTGCCCCAAGGCTTGAGAAGAGTCCCCATTCTTCAGTGAGGGCCAGGGCTCTCCATGGAGCCCTGCCAGCTGAGGGGCAGGAGGAAGAGCTTCTTCTGGGGAAAGACTTCATAAGCCACAAGGACAAGGCAGGTGAAGAGCTGCCAGCGTGATGTTTGTTTGCCGAGATGTGGCAGTGTGGGGAGAAATAGTGGACTGGAACGAAGGACTGAGGGTCCTTGCACAGGGAAAAGAAACCTCAGAGTAAAAGGATATGCTGGATCATGGCAAAGGAGATAATGGGGAATAAGTAGGCAGATAAAAGAGAATGAATAAAAGTGCATGGCAGTGGTGTCTTTTTTTTCTTGAGGAGAACTGTGTTGAATCAAATAAAGCTTGTCTGCAATGGTCTGGGGTTGCACATGTGAGAGTGTATTTGTTCAATGACAGTGGCAGTACTACCCCAGCTTTCTACATGGTTTCATGGTTTCTGGTTATTTCTTAGTTTTTTATTCATGTTGATCTTAAACTATTTTCCAAAGGAAATCTCTACTGTTATGGTGATTCTGCAGCTAGAGAAATACTGGGTCTGTGTTTTTGAGAGAGAGAGAGAGGGAGAGGAGAGAGAGGAAAGAGAAGAGTGACAGAGAACCTACAGGTGTAACAACAGGAAAGAAAAAGATAGGAAGTGTGTCTTAGGGTGGTATATAAAGACAGCAGGGATATATCCATAGTGGGTACATGTGGGGAGGTAAGTTGGGTTGAATTGGTTGGTTGTTAAAATGAGGATGAAATAGAGACAAGTTACTTAAAGACTAAACTTTTCTTAATGTTACTAGTCTGACTGTAGTGTTGGATGAATGCATGTTACAGTGGCATCTGCTTGAGTGCACACCGGAGAGCTGTGGGCTGCACCACAAACTTGAGGAATCCAAGCTTTCATTTCAAAGTCAAGGGCTCTAGTTTTCAGGATGGCAAGGGTATGTTTCCACCAAGAAACAGGGCAAGGATTAAAACAAATAAATAAATAAATAAATAAAATTAAGCCCATGGCTTCTAGAAGTATGCATTTATTTGTACTTTTCATCTCATCAGAGCGTTAACTCTGAAGGATAGTGACTACATTTAACTATCAGGAGACACAGTTCCAGGATTGACCTTTTTAACAGATGGGGCTGGAGCAACAGCCCTGTTCTTCCCAGAGGGGAACATGGTAGTTACTGAGGGAAATGGGATTTGTCATAAAGTTGAAAACAAAGGAGAAATTAAAATGAAAAGGAGGGACCATTGTTGTAAAAAGAGAAACTTGCTTCTATCTGAGTGATGCTCACAACAGGGTACTTGAATTCAACATAAATTTTGCTTCTCTCTGTAGGTAATTCTAAAGTCTGGGTTCAGTCTCTTCATTTATTTTTGCACCTGCTGTTAATATCAAAGACGAGTCAGCTGTGGGTTTAGGCTAGAACAAAGCCTTATGCTTAAGCTTAAAACTGATACTACAAGTTCTATCAGTTTGCCAATGCTGGGGCAGTAGGACTTCTTGGGAACTGTGCAAACTGTGTCAGGGAAAAGTCTACTTATTTTTAGTGGTTGGAAATTTTGGGGAAGATGAAGAGGGGAGTTTCAAGATAGGGCCATGGGGGAACGTTGGCATCCCTATTGTGACAATGGCAGCATCTGATCTGTGTTACATGCTAGCACATCTCAAAGTGGGGTGAACAAAAGATAGGGCACTATTAACTTCTTATTTCTTTAGGATTTTTCTTAAGTCTGTTAATTATAAAGTAACTCTAAAGTAACTTTAATTCATGGAAAGGTTAAAATTTGTATGTACTAATTAAGCAGATAATTGAAATAACTTATTGCTCTAGCAGATAGGAAATTATAACAATGTTCTTCAGCCATACGTTAACTCTAGAAGGTTTCTATATGGAAATAGAAAAATACAAAAATCCTGATAACCTTATTTATCTTTGTTGCAATAAAACATGTTATTTTGCTAGTGTTAGGTAACAACAGTGCTGTTGCCTACCATGCCAACTGTTACGTTGTTTGCTGCTTCTATTTCATTACTACCTAAGAGGCCCTCGTCCCAAGCCAGTATCCTGTTGTGCTAGATGTGGTTCAAAAGATGGCCTTTATAGCAAAAAGCTTACACTGTTTATGGTGCTTTTGGTTTATCTGTAAAGGATCTGTAAAGATAGCTACTGTTGAAGTTTTAATTTAGAAAATGCTTTTGTGCTTGTTTTTTTTTTTTTTTTTTTTCTTCTTCTTTCTTTAACAAAGTAGTTTAAACAACTGTTTGCTTTACTGAACAGCCTATAATAAAACCCATAAATATCTGATCTTTGTACTGCATTGGACAGCACAACATGGTAGATGGCAAGATGGCTTTCTTTAGCTACTCATGTAGTCTTGTAAAGGAAACAAATCCACAGTACAATGCATCCTTTGTGCATTAACACTAGCGTTTTATTTCTTTTAAAATTAATCTTCTGCATTTCCTAACAGTATAATACGTAGCATTATATTTACCTGAAAATTTTCAGATTAAAATGTCCTTGCACAAGAAGTCAAGAAGTACCCCCCCCTTTTTTTTCATAAAGACTTGGATTTTTTTTTCTCTAAAAAAAAAAAAAAACATATATACTGAAAATTTTGCATAGTTTTGATTGTTTTTGAAAGGAAAAAATATGCCAGGAAAAAACATGGTCTTCACAACTTTAATAACTGAGGTATTAACCCTCATAGATCACATACCGTGTCACTTGTATGACTTATGGTTCTAGCTGTATAACCTTTCAGTTGTCGCCTTGCAGAGCAGAAAATGAAGCAACGTAAGCAGAGCTGAACAAACTACTGAAAGCAAACAATATATTTACTTTTTTTTTTTTCTTTTTCCATATGTTAGTTACCTCTGAACAGACCTGGACATCTTAAAAACTGTGTTGTTTTGACTTGCTGAACGAATTGCAGTTCATGTTGGATCTCAGAGTATTTCTTCTGCTTCTGGACTAGGTAATTCCCAACTCCACCAAGTGCTTCCAAGATGGCTGCTGGCACACACAGCAGTGCGAACCCACGTTTGCATGGTGTCAGCACTCAGTTAATATTCTTGTGGAAAAGTGGTGACTTATGTAAGTGCTTGTAGGAATCAAAGAAAACGACTGACACATAGCCTTTAAACAAGTTTACTCCTTGCATGCGTACAGTGTTTGAGAACAATCCTCTGTAAAAACAATCCCCTGTGAAATAGGTTTCTGTATAAATTGCTCTAAAGGTTTACAGAATAAGACTAGGGAACAATGTCTTTCCTGTGGGTTTCTCATTTGTGACAGCAATTCAGTAGCTGGGTAATAATTACTGTATTCTGTAAGATCATTTAGCTGAAAATACCTAGGAAAAAATGCAGTTATTTTTATTAACTTGCACAGGACTTTTCCATAAGGGATTTAATATGGGGCTCTCTTTACTCAGCCCTGAAGCTTGGGTTTTAGCTGCATTTATCCTTTTCTCCCTCCTCAGTTTGCAGCCTCCCACCTTTCCAGTAGGTTGCCTTCTGTGTATTTCATTGCTGCTGCTCCTGCCTCACCCACCTTCAGGAGGCTGGTTCAGTCAGCTCCTGTACTGCTGCCACCCTGGATCTTTATAAACTCTCTTTCCCCATCATGTCTTATCCCATTTCTTTTTTCTTCCAAGGAATTGATCTTGCATCATAGAGGGGTCTCTAAGAATATAAGGATGATGAGTGAGATAAGGTGATTTATGAGGCAAAAAAGTGCGACCAGATAAAAGATGAGTCAGTCATTGCTGAAATGTAGCAGACAGATCTGGAAAGAATAAGTGTTTGTTTTTAAGCTGTATTTAATAAAAAAAAAAAAAAAAAAAAAAAAAAAAAAAAAGAATTACAACAATGTTTTCCTGTAAGTATTTTGATTAATATTGCCAAATTATTGCCAAACAGACTTATTTGCTGCTTTCTAAACAGGCCTTTTCCTGTAAGTATGATGTGCGCTAAAATGACTGACAGCTCCAGTGAGAGCTCCAGCTTCTAAACTATTGTGAAATTGCATTTAAACACACAAATACAACCAAAGATTTTTGCCCACAGTGCTCCTGATACAACACATTGATAACAGAGCCCTTGCATCTAATGCAAGTGGATGCATAAGAGTGTTCTAATTTGCATTTATTTGTGTTTCAGAATTTAAAAAATCCTTTCATGGGATGATATAGCAAAGCTTACTGTTCCAGATCAAAACTTCCTATTGGAGTTGCTGAGACTTCTCTGGCAAACGAAGTGGACGTATGGTTAGTACCACAGCTGCATCAGTGGCATCGTTGCTCTGGCGATGCAAATTGTTATGCTCCGAACAATGAAAATCAGATTTACAGATATATGGGGGAACAAGCAAATGTGATTCATTGCTAATTTATTCCCAAATATTTAGATGAAAACCAAGCATATTTGTCTGTCTGCAAATCAATATATTTTACAAATCCATATGTATTTATCTTGAAAATTAATTTTCATTGTCATCTAACGTTTCTTCTATAATTGCTTTTGCCTGCCTTGCCAAGAAGCAGGTGACCAATCAGGTATGAATTGCCAATGGCTAATGAATAATAATCAAATGAACAGTTTGCCAATAACCCTTATCCTGAAAGCTGTTTGTCTAGAAGATTTGATTTCTTACAAATCAAAATGTATTTTGCCTACTTTGTTGAATATACACATGCATATTTATGTATGCAAAATTCACATTCCTTATATAAATATTCAGATATCCAGTTTCAGGCAGTGATATTTGAACAACTGTAGTTTGGATGACCAACAATAGAGGAATTCTGCATAAATTAGCATAGTCAAACAAGATTTCTACAATTATAAATTGTCAATGTAGTTTCAGTAATTTGGTATTGACAGAAGAACAATTTGGGACTAATCTGTGTAAAGGAGCACCTTTCACTTTTTCAGGTGAATGCTCAGTCATTTCAATTTCATTCTCCCTTTCAATTTCAATAATTTGGCGTTACAGATTTTCTAATACTAACAAAATACAATTTGTTAATTGCTAAGCAAACAGACTGCAACAACCAAGCACAATTCACTAAAGTTTTGTTTCCATTCGCTAAGCCTTTTTTCTCAGAGAATTTAAATAGTTGCTGGCTCCGCAGTGATCCCCCAGCAGTTCTGAGAGGAAAGCTGTCTGTGCGAAGCAGGTAAATAATGGCTGGTTTTAAAGAAATAAAAACACCTCGCACGAATAGATACTTTAAATTGAAGTTATTAAACTGTACTGATAAAGTCAAGTATACTGCAGGAAAATGTGTTGCAGAAGCTGATGCATCTTTCTGTATGTCGGTTCAGGATTTTTGAGCAGCAGCAGGTTTCAGGAACCATACAGATGAAAGCAGTTTAGTAAAACCTGCCCCTCTGTGAGTTGTTTTGCTCTGTGTTTTTCTTTTTAAATGACTCTTTAATCTGGTTTGGCGTTTGAACCTCTTTGCGAGTCCGGAGCTTGTTTCCCGCTGGCAGCTAACGTTCAGCGAGCTGCACACGGGATTTCATTTGAAAGCGTTGTTATTTGTAGAGAAACACCTTATTTCGTGTGCTGCCGGATGACCATATCGCAAATCGGCCCCCAGCGTGGAAGCTCGCCCTTTTTCTAACGTTAACCGAAGTCCTGAAACGGCGCGGCTAAACCGCGGCAAGAGTTTGAAATCGGGACGAGAAGCACAGGTTGGTGGCGTGTCTGCAGCGGGGCCGAGGAAGGGAGACGGGACCCTCCTGCCCCGGGGCGGGAGGGTGGCGGGGGTTCGGCGGGACCCCCCGGGAACCCTCCCCGGGCGCTCTCGGGAGCGGAGCGGAGCAGCCGCCGCCGCTCCGCTGGGATGCCGGGGGAGCAGGGAAAGGGAGCTCTGCCGGCGATAAGCGGGGAGAGGAACACCTGCGAGGGGAACACACCTGCGGCGGGCGGGGAGGGAGGGAAGGAGAAGAGGGAGGGATGGAGGCAGAGCCCCGGCCGGGCGGGGCGCACAGGTGAGCGCCGCCGGGTAGCGGAGCGGGCAGGGGCAGCCCAAATAGCGGACTGCCGGTTCCCCGTATCGTGTCCTGTGCTCCCCGTGTTACCTCCTCTGCTCCCTGAGTCGCCCCCTTGGCCCAACTCGGAGGGCGGCCGGCCTGAGCGCACCCCCGCCGGGCTCCGAGCTCCGTCTCCCCTCAGCTGCGCCCTGCGCTCAGCGGGTTCAGGGCGACAACGAAATCTTCGCCGCGGGGGCTCCGAGCGCTGCCCTCGGCCCCGCTCCGTTTCGGGGTCCCCCCCGGCTTCCCCTGGGGCCGGCCTCTCCCGGGGGTGCCGCCTGCGGGACGCCTGAGCGCGGCCGGGGCTCCGCGCTACCGGCCCGGGAGGGCTGAACCGGGGCGGCTCCGGGCAGTGCTGGGAAGCCCCGTCCCGGTCCCTCTCCCCGTCCCCATCCCCGTCCCGGTCCTGTCGGGACGGCACAGCGGGCAGGAGGCTCCTGCCGCGTCCCGGGACCCCTCGGGGCGGGCGGCTCGCCAGGGCCCACTCCGGAGCGGCGGGCACCGGGCACTGGGGAGCGAGGTCAGGGCACGGGGACTACCGCAGCCTCCGGGGCCGGCTCCCAGGTAGACCGGGGGGAGCCGGGGGGGGGCGGCTTGGGGGGCTGAGAGACACGGGGCTGGGGGCTGCCGGCCCCCGGCGGAGAAAGGGGAGAGGGGGGGGCACACGAGTGCGGTGCGGGGCGTCGGGGGAGCGGCCCGAGCCTGTCCCCGGGGAGCGGGGGGCGATGCTCTGCGGACACCCAGGGTCCGCTCCCCGGCGGCTTCGTGCCAGGCGCCCCAGGGCGCCCGCCTTTCGCCCGGGGCGGCTGGAAATCGCCGCTTCGGGTGCCGAGGCCGCATAGGGAGGGTCTTTTCCTCGCGTCTCTGCCTGCGTTCCCTTTAGGTAAGCGTTGTGCCGTAGCTCCTGGGTGTGCGGCTGGGAGCGGGAGGAAGGGAGGCAGCTTGGGAAGCGATCGCTCCGCCAGTGGGCGTTTTCTGGCGGCCGGGCTCGGTATTGGAAGCGGCACTGCAGTGATTTTATCTGCCTCTTTGCAGACGCGCACGCACATACGGGGCAATATTTGCGTTGCTGGAAGAAAATACGGCTTGTTAGCGTTTTCTCGCTGTGAAGGCGAGGCGGGAGCACGAGGAGAAGCGGACTTTAAAAGGGGATCGGAGCCGCTCGGCGGTCGGTAGCGCCGCGTCCCCCTCCGGCCTAAAGGGGGACCGGGAATGTGAGGATTTCGGGACGGAGGGGGCCGGGGTGCACGGGCGGTGCCGGCCGGGGGCTGCCGGCGGGAGCGAAGGAGCGGACCGCGGTCGCCTCTCGTTTCGCTCCGTCCTTGCGCGGCTTCCCCTCTCTGCCTACTCCGCCGTCTCTGCTAGACGTCCTGCCTTAAACTACGGCGAAAGGGAGGGAAGAGCGGAAGCATGTCCAACCCGGAGAAGCGGCTCTTAGCCCGCCCCTCGGCCCCCCTGGCTGCGGCACCCGGGGAAAAGCCCGGCTCCGGCAGCCGCCCGCTCCACTCCCATGGCCAGAGCGGCGGAGGTGGAGGCAGCGGCGGGTCTCCTCCTCCTCCCCCCGCTCCCGGAGGCGGCTCGGCTGCCTGCAGCTCCCTCTTTCTCCTCCTAACAACCAGCAGCAGCAGCGGGAGCCGCGCTGCAGGGACAGCCTCCTCCGCCGCCTCCGCCAGCATCGTCCCCAGAGCGGCGGCGGCTCCTTTCCTCGCTCCAATCCCCTCCTTTTCCTCCGCTTCTCCATCTTCTTTTTACTTCTTGCCGCCGCCTCCTCGTTTCCCCTCCTCGTCTTCCTTTAACCTCACGAGTCTCCAAGGGAGGGAAGGAGGAGGAGGAGGAAGAGATGTTGGCGGAGCAGCGGCAGCAGCAGCTCACTTGATCGCCCATCCAGGCGGCAGCGGCAGGAGGAGACTCTTCTCTTCTTCCTCCATCCAGGGCTTGCTGCTCCGCTCCACGGCCGGCGGCCCCCGGCAGCACCACTCCCGGCTCCTCCTCCCCCCGGCCGCCTCTCGCCCGTGGTCCTGCGATTCCCTCGGGGCTGCAGCGGCAGCAGCCCGCGGCGACGGGATCCGAGGAGGCGACGGCCCCGGCAGGAGCGGGACTCCGAGGCGGCAGCAGCGGCAGAGAGGCGCCTTCTTCTTCTCCTCCTCCTCGGCTCCTCTGCTCCTAGGGCCAGACATGGAAGATGGATCTAATTCTGCCAGCTGCTTTAGGAGGTTTACGGACTGTTTCTTGAACACAAGTAGGTACCGCCCGGCGGAGAGGACGGGGGGGGACGAAGGGCCGTGTCCGAGGCTGGGTGCATGCGGCGAGGAGAGGCAAGGGCATCGCTTTCTTTGTGAGCGGGGGGGGGGGGGGGGGGGGAGGCGAGCACACAAAGGGGCTGCGTGCGCGGGGCGTGCGTGGACGCATGGAGGAGCGGCGAGGATGCACGGACAAAGGGGATGCTCGGCGTGCCCGAGCGCTTTGTGGCGGCCGTATCCGCATCGCTCCGGCGCCGGGCGTAACGCCGCGGGTGTGCGTGTCAGCAGCCCGCTGCCTGGTGCTGCTCGATTCCCTCACCAACGGTACCGGGGGAGCGGGGGCCGCCCCCCCTGCTCGCTCCGAGGGGCGGTGAGGAAGCCTCGCGGTCTCGGCAGCCGGCAGAAAAGCGGTGGAAGACGAGGAGGAGGAGGACCGGAGGACCGGAGGACCGAGCGGGGCGCAGCGCCGCGCATCCTCCCGCACCTCCCGGAGGGTCTGCCACACGCGGGGGGCTCGGGGCTCCCCAGCCAGCCTCGCCACCGGCTGCCCCCTTTCCTCGGCCAGGGCTTCGCTGCG